AAACGTCTATCCTTCCTATATCTCGAATACACGGAGATTGAAAAAATCATCCGTGCTGAAAAGCAATCCTTGCACTAGCTGGGTAAGTCCATCGCCGAGTAAAAGAAGAGGGTAAGATTTTTCCATGATTTATGCATGACTCCGGTTACGCTTGGGGAGCACTGTACCGCTACATCTTCTACGTATGTGCACACGCGCGCGTGTAGGTGTGCGTCGCATACCGGCATACACGTTGCCGTTACACACGTAGACCGTTCGTTTCTGTCGTTCAAATTTCGTCGCGCTTGTTTCTCGCGATTAACCGCGTCGGCGTACATTTAGTTGCGCGATACTTACGAGTATTAAATCCGCGTTCAACGGATTTGCGCAATCCACGCAAACTATTCGTCTCAAGGCGACTCGAAAAACCGACCCACTTTGTTTACTCGAGATCAGACGAACGCTCTGACACTCGAGATGGTGCTGCCAGCTGTCGCTCGCTATTCGTTTCATCCAACGATGGTAAACCTTCGCACGGCCTACGATAAACCGTGTCGTTGCGTAACCAATGTTTGCGACTTTTATCGATCGAAAATTATACGTCATCAAATCGCCCAACGGTCCTAGGAACGTGGACCGAGGAACGAGAAACGGGGAACGCGGAACGAGGAACGGGATACGAGGAACGTGGATCGAGGAACGAAAAACTTCGCAGTAAACAATTCACCGCTGGGACTGAGATTTCAAACCAACGAAACGACTTCTCTCTCGAGAACAAGTGCTTCTTGGGCTCTTCGAAACCTCGAGACCTTGACGGAGAAGCGTTTCACTTTTACTTCGAAATAAATGCCCGAGGCGACGACCCAAGGCAGGTAGTCTTTTTTTCTCAAATATTTACCTAAAGCTGCAAACGAGATTCCGTATCCGTGCCCTAAGCGTAATCGTAATCGTATCTTTTACATGGACAACAACAAGCCCTCTCTGCTCTGCTCGACGTCAGACGAAATCTCGACCAAACGTCACGTGTTTGCTCGCCACGCCGAAACATCGAAAGCGTCCCTAGACTCGATACGAGCCAGCTGTCGACCGCCTGATTATGCAAACTCTAGTCGGGTACCGCGAAGAGAAAATGCGTAATTAATCAACGAATGTGTTGCTCGTAGTCAGGGCGACTCAAACGTTTTACGACTTTAGTCGGTGTACAAAGAACGCCGTCGCTTTCTCGCGATGCTTTTCATAACGAAAGGCAAATACGCCTGCACGCTAACTCTGTTCTCTCTGGACAACGTTACATTGCCGATATTACGAGCGGCTGTCCACAGCGAAACGCGCAACGCGAAACGCCCAACGCGCAATGCGCAACGCTCACAGAATCATCGTTACTTTGGCTGGATCGTATTGATTACTCGTTAATTACCCGCAACATGCGAAATATTTTTCGGACACGTTTTCATTTACGTTCCATTTACTCCGTATTTTTCTTCCAATTACAAATTATCGATTACGAATTAACCTCATTTCTTTCCGTGTGTACCGCATCTTATTTTTTTTTTTTTCCCCCCCCCCCCCCCCTCCATTCCTCTACCTATTCGATAATAAAATATTTTACAAGCTTAAGGTTATTAGTCTACATGTGTTGCTATCCTGCGTAATAATGAGCAAATAATAACTGGGCATTTGTATGCAAAGCCTCAACGAGAAGTCGTATCATGCGTTAATGCGATTTACGCGATAGTCCTATAGCCCGGTCACGAACCATATGCCTGGACCTATTCGCAATTCGCAATTCGCAATTCGCCAACGCGCAACTTCAAGGTTCCATAGCACGATCGACTATGCTGCGTCCCTTTGGCCTGTCTGCTGCTTCTTCGCGACTACGTTCACAAGGTGGGTCTCGTTCTTTTTAATCGCGTCTGAAACGAACTCGATCTCGGTCGTAGTTGAATCGTATCGATGATCGATACGAGAGAGTCCGACTGTTCCAGTTTATCTCGTTAGATACGCGTAAAATACATCACCGAGGAGACAAAGAAACATTTACACTCGACAATTTATCAGGGATGATCGGATTATTTTCGCATTCTTAATTTGTAACCGTACAAGATACGAGGAACGTAGAAAGTTTCCCGTTGCAAGTTTACCGAGCACTAAATACGCGAAACAGTCGTTAAACGGAAAGTGCTGAAAAATTGCGAGAAGAAAGACTTCCGGAAAAGAGAGAAGGTTATTGAAATATGTGGATATCGTTATGGTAGAAGTTGTTTGTAAGCGATTATAATTACGTGATTCTAGCTCCCGTGCGATACTAACTTTAAACCAGATCCGTTCAACTCGACTTCTAGTTTAACCCGAGTAATTTCGCCACTGAATTACAGGCATCTGTGTTTTACACGCTACCGTTCTTCGTAACCTCGTTAAACCGCTCGATTCCTATTTGCAATGTTACACTAACCGCAACAAACTGTGCAAAACTCTTCGTGGACGAAACGTTTCGAAATGAATGCTCGTATATACCACGAAAATGAACGATCGGATGACCGATGCGTTACGATCGAAAGAAAACATCGTCCACTCAATGGCGTGCTACTCGATCGAGAAACTTGGTTTACCCTCTCTTGCGAAGGTGGCACCGGTGTTCCAAGGGAACCGACGGTAATTCCAGAGACGTCAACAAGGTAGGGTATCCCCTTTACCAACCTTATGTAAACCGCTACGTTCAACGTACAAACAATTCGAGTTACTCTCGCTCTCTTATCTCGCGTTAAACTCTATTCCCTTCCTTATCAATTGCTCTTCATATTTTTCGTCGCGTTCTATACCGTCGTACCAAATACGCTTAAACACGCATATAGAACGCATTGTACGATATATATCCTTTTACCAACGAAGGTGCTATTTCGTGGCGAGACTTTCTCCTTTGCGAATTTTTCATCTTCGTATACAAGGGTACCATTCGTTTTGAAATATCGTCATTCTTTTCGACGCGTACCTTTCGTTGCTTTAGCCAACCGAGTGTTTGCATATTTCATCTCGTCACGGCCGAATTAAACGGGAACCGAACGAACCAACGCGAGCCTTTACGTAAGGGAAAAATATTTCATCTCCCCATTGATTCTTACGCCCACTTCTATGAATCGAACGCGGGGAGTATGAAATTTTAGTTACTCGTCGCGTCTACGGTGCTTTTCCTTTAATTCGCCAAAATGAATTCGAGTCGTAATAATAATAATAACAACAATGTGAAGAAAAAAGATGAAAAGAAAAAAGAAAGGGATCAGCCAAGTCGTAAATAGTAAGAATAAGGAAAGATCGTAACCGTAGAAAAACCTGAAACTGAAGACGAAAAGCAGTAAATCGCGTCGCTTTTGCTGGTTGTTTCGCGAACAACTACACCGTGTGCAATTGCACGTGAGACCTCGCGAGGTAACGTACTTAATACCCGGGCATTTTCTCATTAATTCGGCTAATATGGCTACCTCGCAGTTACCATGAAGCCTCGATGTATTTCGAAGTATGTACCGTAATCACGGGAATTCGAATTTTTATCGTTGCTCGCAGAATCGAGCGTAATAACTCTCAATGTTCATGGATTATCTCGACGATCTCTTTCCGTATACAGTCCGCGAAATGACTACATCGATACCGATTTGTTAAAAGGCAGGTAACAAAGTGTACCGACTCGATGCATCCAGTCGAACATTCGAAGAAATAGCTCGCAAGCTCAATGCGGTCTGAAATTGAAGAAAAGGAAAGAAACTTTTCCGTTTCGGTTTCCCTTTGAGCAAGTTTGTCAGGTGGAACCGAGTACGTCGAGAGGCACGGGAACGTTACAGTTCTTGAAAGCTCGGAAAAGTTTCGAGCGACTAGGCGATCCTTCGAATTTTGCCCAACTGGAATCGCTCGGTTGGTCGTTTCACTTCCGGCGCTATCGTTATCGATAAACGCGGCAAATTTTGAACCGCTACGTCTATCGAACGAAACGAGAAATCGTTAAAAACTCGAGGCGTCGCGGTTATGACGCAAGTGACTTAATAAATCTGGAAAGTCTAGAGACGTTAAAATCTTACGAGCTCCGGTAGAAAGTCGCAATAAAAATAAAGCGATTAGGCAACTTATTAGGCAAGAAGAAAAGAATTCGAACGAAAGCTCGGCGGGTACCGATTAACTTTTCGTAACAATGTTGCATTTTAAAAGTTTCCAACTTGGTCGCGTTACCGTGATTTCGCCCATCGCTATCTTCCCGAGATAAGGCTTACCTCGATGAACTACGCGAGCCAAGCGTATAATCTTCGCCGCGATTAGACAAGATTCGCGAACGCGAGCTACGGATTTCTAGATACGATCGCTCGAACGAAATTTCCGAGTTTGCGCGAAAAAAGCGGAGGTTGGGGAGAATCACGGTTACCGAGATAAACGTACGTAGAGTGAACCGGAGAGACGCAACTCTCGTACCCGCAAACGTTTGCGAAATAACCGTGATTCCTCGTTCGAATTTAACCGGGGAACGAATGGAAACCAGGCGACGTGCCTTTTTTTCTCCATCTACCCGCGCGCAGCTTATTGTCGCGAGCAATCGGCGATATAATAGTTGGTTGCATAATACTTACTTACATAATACATAATACGCGAAATGGCACAGATCATGCGACGAATCGTTCGACGATTCGATCGGTTCAACGAGGAACAGACTCGATGGTCGAATCGGTGATTAATTCGCCTCGTTCTCCGAGATGCGTTTCTCTCGAACAATTGGTTCGGCGAGACCGCGACTTTGTTCGCTCTAACTCTGTCTATGGAAACTCGGCGGGAAAGCCTCGGTTTCCTATTCGTCCGGGTATCGGAGCGGCTGTTCGAAATCGAATGGGTTTTCGCGTAACGTAATTTCGTCGGTGCAAACGGTTTTTTCCTGGCCCCGTTGTTGTTGCTCCCGTTGACGGTACAATTACGGTGGACTACGGTGATGGCACGCTCTTTCTACGAACCGGCTAGGAAAGGGGGTACAATACCTATATAAAGCTTGAATGAAGATGCTCCCAGCTATTCACTCTCACCTTTCTCACAAGCGTGCGCACGACGCAAATCTTCCGGACGAATCGCGAGGGAAGATCGGCTTCGTGTTCGTCTCCCGTGAAAAGGATTTCGCTCCGAGGTGAGTGTCTCAATTTCGTTCGCGTTCCATCCATTTCCTTCCACTTTTCTCTTTTTCTCTTTTCCTTTACCTTTCTTTCCGCCGAAAATTCGCCACATTCTCGAGCCGAACGACCGTCCCGCGTCTCGCACCGACAAACAAATTCCGGGGAGAAAGCGACGTTGACAAATTCGCGCAGCATAGTCCGCGATATTTGCAAATTCCCTCCTAACCTCCTAACCAGACCGAATGAATTTATCCACGTTTACCGTTCGTCGTTTACCAACGCTCTCGTCGAATTCTCGCGCGATAGAAAACGCGCCAAACTTGGAGAGATACAAATTCATTATACCGCGAAAAAGAAAGCGACGTTCCGTGTACAGAATGATTGATACCTCCTCGTGACTAAAGTCTCCTCTTTGTACCTTTCCAAGCTCTTAACGATAAGAGCCTCGGATGAACTTTGAATGAAACGCGAAGAAGCTCGAGTATCGATCGACTGTTTCTCTTTTTTTGCCATTTTTACGATTATCCATTGACGCGAGAGACGAACACATCGGTGCGTCGGGAGATGGAGAAAACGTTACCGACGAGCGGTACCTCGAGGCATTTTCGGAGATATCGAGCACAGAATTCGATAATCGCGTCCCGTGTAGCAGATCCCGATAATTCAGCGTGCACGACCGGAGAAAGCGATCGATCGAGATGTTACGTTAATTTTCTTTTCAACGAATCATCGTGGTCGAGGAGCGCGGTACAGATTCGTCGGCGTTACGCGTACTCGCGCGAGTGTCACTACGAAGAACAAACGACGTGGAGAATTAGCGGTAAAAGCAGGAGCGAAACTCGATGACGCCTCGCTTCGATTTCCGACGACTGAACGACTCGTCGCTTCGATCGCGGACCAGACTACAAGTTTTGTCGAACGCGAAGGACGCGAGATCGTGGAAGCGATCGGACGAAAAGCGCGAGAATAAACGGGAGAGGAAGGAGCTCGAGAACGAGAATAAGCGCAAGAGTGAGAGCGAAATCGCGAAGAGGAGACAACGGAGGCGGCTGATTTCGGTGACCGCATCTGGAAGAAAGTGCACGTCGTACGCGTATGTTAGACGCACGCGTTTGCGCGTTGATCGTTAGGTCAGTGGTACTCGTCGCACGGCCAACTGTTCTATTCGATGCACTGCTGGAAATGGCATCGACGCGATCCAAGTTTCGAGGAAACCGCGATTGGACCGCGGCCATTCGACCTACACGCGTGTACGCGTCGTACGCATACTAGTCGCATCCAATCCTTTGTCACGCTCACGCTTTGACTTTTCTTCGCTTTGCGCGACCTTTGACATCCTTTGCCGGAGCAGCTGGAATGTTGCGAAGTACCCAAGGAAATATTCGTTTGCGCCTCCGTCTACCAATCGAATTACGTAATTCTATCGAATAAGAGGAATTTGAAACGTACACGCCGCAATCTTCGTTTTAAGTTGTTCTTTGCCTGCAGCGAGTCCTGCAGATGTCCGCGTTTACAGAGAAAGCCGTATATAATGGAGAATGACAAAAGGGAAAGTTTTCCAAAACCGAAACGGGGAGACTATTCGATGGCTATTTGGACAGAGGAAAGGAGAATCTTCCGAGACCTCGCCGTAATCGAACGCGTAATTCCGTTTGACCGTAAACAAACGAAACGGGACGATCGTCTTCTAACGTTACCGATGCTTTTGGCGAATCGAATCCTCTCTGCTTTCTCCGTGGCGAAGGTCGCAAGAAGGCCGATTTCTCGCTACTTTTTCTACGCAAAAATTTATGTCCCTCTCCGTATTCAACCATCGCGAGAAATCGATTAATTCTTTCCGTCCGATTACTTTTCCCCCGTCCCCGCAGTTTTCTCGCAGTTTTCTCGCAGTTTTCCATTTTCCGCGGCGATACGTTCTCCGTTTCGTCGGATATCGTTTGGCGAAAAAACCGACTATCGCAACATTTCGTTCTCCCGATAGAGATCTACGAAACGTATTCACGCGATATGGCAATAGCTCGTTTCGAGGATTCACCGGTTTGACCGTTAGGACATTCCCGAACGTGGGACAGCGGAGTTCCCTCTGAAAAACACGGACAATCTTCGAATTGCGACACGCGACTCGAACGTTGTCGCAATTCGTCGAGAAAATCATCGATCGCTAACCGGCGCCCACGCTTCTGGAGAAGGTACAAAGCATTCTAGCCGATCTTGGACGTTCCATTAGGAGTATTATTCGCGAGGAAAGTTTAAAAAACTTTTATCGTACTCCTTCTACCCTCTCGTATTCCCGCTATCCTTGCGAGGATTGCACCCCCGCTAACGGTGTCGCGAAATATCGTCTGGAAAAGGTTGGGTACTCCGCGCAACTTTCCACAACTTTGCCGCCGCGACTTCTTTGAAATTCGATTAACGCGGTTTCAACGAGCCGTTGCGACCTGCCACCGACGTCTTTGGATTCGGCGGAGTTACGGTGGGCGTACCGGAGACAAAGAGCAGCGCAACGCGGATCGACCCGCGATATTCGCTTACCGGTTTTAGGGAAAGGTTCGACTCGACCTCGTCGCAGATCCGCCTCCGGCTGACATTGCGAAGTAGAAACCACGAGGAACGATTTGCGCGAGCGTGCGCGCGCGAGCACACCACCGCGAACCGCGTTTCACGACGCGTAAGGCAATCGATGTCCTCGTAACCCAGACCTATCGGACGTAACTGCCGGTTTTCACTGGTAGATCTCTCGCAACCACCTCCGAACGTTCATCTCTTCTATTCTATTCTCTTTTCGTCTCTCGTTAGCACGGTTAACGCGCGATATCGTTACAACCACTTTTCTCCTTTGCTTCTCCACCTCCGAAAATAGATAACAGTCGAAAGATTCTCGTCTACTTTCACCGTCAGCTTCTCGTCAGCGCTCGTGGTTCACTGACGAAGCCGATCCTCGCGGCTTTCGCGTAACCCGGAAAACGTTTCTTCCAACCCAACGCAAGGTTTCGAGCGTGAATCGCGATTTCGAGTATAGCACCGCGGAAAGTTCGACATCCTCGCCTGGACGAAATCAAATTTCATCCACAGCCGCGTCGCGTCGAGTGCCTGGTTGGCACAGTCATCGTCTGGCATGTTCCTTATTACGAAATCCGGATAACGAACGAGTACGCGGTATCAAGCCGCCGCGTCTGGTCGAAAAGTCGAGGCGTAGAAACGTCAAAGCGAAACCGCAGCATCTCAAGTGCACGTTACACTTGCTTCCCCCCCTTCCCCTCCCACCCGCTCTTTACAAACATCGCGAATTTCCTGCGATAATTATGCGACCGTGTTTCCCGAGCCGTCGTCGAGCCGTGCGCGCCACCGAGCTGCTTCAATTTAACGAATCGAAGACGAAACGAGCCAAAATCTAAACGATACCTATACTTTTCGTTACCCCGCGTTACTCAGTTCTCCGATTTCTATCCTTCGCGGGAATAATTCCCGTACCACCAGGATGCAAACGTCCGTAAACGTCCGACTCGCGTAATTAATTAATCGCGTAGAATAATACGGTATTAAATTGAAGGATTAAAAGAGAAAGGCCGATAGAATTTGCCATTACGCCGGTAATCGATACGACACGAAAAAGGTCTGAGGGAAGCGCGTACGTGTTTCGCAATGGCGCTCGTAATTTCCCGAAAATATTTTTCCCGCGAAGCGTGACACGAAGCCTGTCTGGGTTCGACAACGAAATCCATTAATCAAATTCTCGAACCAAGTATCGGGGGTGGCATTCTCTGTCGGTTTTTCCCTCTTCTTCTCGGTGTTAATGGAAAAGGAGGCACAAAACCGAGGATAAAACGATAGAAAGCTCTTACAGAGAATTATCCGCGAAGACGACAGGCGTGAAATTATCCAATTTAATTCCCTACAGCGTCGAAACTATCGGGATACGTAGGACGACGCGTTGGATCGCTGGATTCGCGTTACATATGCGTCACCATTGTGCCCGTTACCTACAGGTCAGCCATGGAATCGCGCTCGCTTCGCTCTAATTTAATCGCAATCTCATTTGTGCAACCCGCTCCTCTTCTTTTAATTTCTAAATAAATATTTGCAAACTGGAACGTTCCCACGTATTTGATTACCATGCGTTTTCCATTTTATTCCGCTCAACCGCAATGGAGTTCATCTGGTTTAAACGCGACGAGCCGCGCGATTATACGCGAGATCGGGTCGCGATACGCAGCGCGTTCCATCCGAATTACGTTTACACTTTATTTACGTTTCCACGACCGTCTCCTTCGGACTCTTGCTCGAGTCGTAATCGAGGTGCCACCCTCGAGAGCCTCCGACGAATATTCGTCGGAGGCTCTCGGCAATCGATCACGCGTTTCATCGTCTTCGAAGCTTCTTATCTCGGTGCATCGTTTAACGAACTCCAACGTGATTCCATCGAGTCACTCGATCCCCTCCATGCTTCCCCAGCCTGCATTGTATTTTAACGAATCCGTCGCGAAAAACGTTTCTGCGCGCGCTACGTTTCCACGCACGCGGGCTTCGATTCTCTTACGGTAGCGGCCGAATGGAAAAATGGAAAAATGGCGATATTAGTTTTCGTTGATAACGAAATAGAGGGAATAGAGGGAAGAAGCTGCGCGCGTATCGCGTCGACTGGCGGACCGTGCACGAGTATTAGTAACGTCTCCGATCCTCGAGGCCAGCGCGACTTTCACCTTTCACCTCGGCCGAGCACGATTCGCCGGTTAACTTCTCGAACCTTTGCCCGGACGAGGAACGACGAGCGTCGTGCGGATGTTTCCGAGGGAAGAACTGCGACGAGATCAGAACACGAACGCTATCAGCGCCACGAGCACAACACCGATCGTAACCGCGTCACGATTCGGTTTCACCGTCGGCTAGCTATCGTTAAACCGAATCTCAGATATCGATGGAAAGCATCCGGATCTAGCCAGGTATTCCGCTCGTAACTTCCACTTCGTTGAAAGCGACAGTGCATCGAGTTTCCCTCCGGAACACCTCCGAGATACCTCGATTCCTCCTTCCTCCGCAGTCCTTACCGCCATACTTTCTACCCTGTCCATTCCAGTCACGAATAGAAACCATCCGTTAATCCTATTCGATAAGCTTCTCCTACTGCCCTTTTCCCTTCGTCGCGAGATTTCCTCCTAACGCGAATATCACGGACAGAGATGGAAGCGTTGGTCGTCGATTTCTCTTGGCCGCGAACCCTCGATCCGCGAAACTGAGTTTCGCTCGATTCGAAGCTGAGTTTTCGAGCCGAGCCTAGCGTGGTACCGTGAAAAATCTCGATTCGCACACTGGTCCTGTGCAAACGATTCGCAAGCGGACAAACACGCTTACTTTCTCTGCCACGTTCGATTCCATTCGAGGCGCAGGGAATGAAAGAAAAGAAAAAGAGAAAAGCAAAATAAAGGCGACGGAGAGCTGGGTTCTTTTAGACCGTAATCGAAACACGCGGGTCCGCGTAGACTCGTGAAAGCGCAGAAGCGAAACTTGTTCGACTCGCGGGGGAGTAACGTCGAAAAATTGAAAAGCCGCCAGAACGGATTACGTCGTTTCTCTCTTCTCCGCGAAGCGGTAAATGTTCTCTTCGCGCAATCACCGCAAAGACACGATGTTAATTAGCCGTGAATCGAGTTGTACGTCGAGTTTCGACCACGCTCCCGAATTACAAGTCGACTAAGAGATCAAACAGGATTGCGACCCCTCGGCTAATCTGATCTGACGAAACGTTCCAACGCCGACGTACGTGAGAAGAGCGAAACAATAGTGGAAACGGCCTTTCTCGACACCAGAAAACTATTTAGCGATTGTACTCTCCGGGATACTCTCGTTGAGCTTTCTGTCGAAACTATGACGAAACGAGACGAGATGCGACCGAACGGGACCACGCGAAACCGAGGCGGGGCTAGACGTAACCCAACGAAATCGAGATCAGGCGAAATGTGGATCGAGCGAAATCGGACGCAACGTGGATGTTCTTTTTCGCCTGGAAGAAAGGCGAAGCCTGAGCAAAAATTTGAAATTCGCACGTTTGTTCGTTCTCGAGGCTAGAAGAGCTTGCTCTGTGCTCGTAATACGCGCGTTAGCTTCGAATTTAACACGCGACCGATTCTTTTTCGTCTCTCGTGTCGAAGACAACCGAACCGAGAGTAACCTTCCCATTGTTTTTACCTACAAAGTAGAGAACGAGTTCCCAGCCTTGAAACGTACGCGCGAAATATTCAAGGTTTCCTACCTGTCCCGACGACTTTGGTCGTTATTTCTACCATTGTCGCGATATCGTACACGCGGAGTGAGACGTGGACGGAAAGAGGCGTAAAAGACATGGCGTTACAGATAAAAAGGATGAAGGAGATCGCAACGTTGGTGATCGCAGCTGGTCTGGCCGTAGCCGCGAGCCAGGAGTACAACGGAAGACATGCCTTGTTCGTGAAAACCTCGTCAGCAGCTGGTAAGAAAGATACGGGTGGACTCGTCGAGTCTGCCCCGTCTACGATCGATCGGGAGGAAAGAAAGCGATAACGTTCGATAACTACGAGCGAATTTCATCAAATCGTTTAACGTTCATTAGCGCACTCGAGAGTCCAGCGAGCTGCTCCGGTTTCGGCCGCAGACACGATGGCCAAAAATATCCTAGAGTGGATCCAGGGGATCTACCGACAGGGCGCACGTAAACGTACGTTCTCCAGATGCAGCTTCTCCTATCGAGATCAAAATCTCGTAGATCGAAGGGTGGAATTTTCCAAACAACGCGTTCTCCTCTATTTCGCCTTCTCTTTGCCAATTCTCTTTCGACCTCTTCAGTAGTCCTCCGATCAGCGTTTTGCCTTCCTTCGCGATATACGCGAACTCGCCGAAATAAGTACCGAATGAATTGCCAATTAGTCGTAATTAGCAAGTTACCGTGGAACAAATTAAATCTGCCGTTGCCGCACGAAATGTCAGAATCACGTCCAACGTATATTTCGCAATGTAATTTACTTTGTCGGCGGAGAATTTAAATATACGTATTACATATGGATGTACACGTATAAGATGGAGAGATCTGAAGAGGTTAAAGTTCCGTTTTCAAGATAAATATAAACGGTACCCTGATATTTGGACGAGTCAGTGGCCCATGCTTAAGATACTTTCGCAGATGTAATTACGTCGATCTTCGGAATGCAATTAACCATACTTTAACGCGGACTCTCACCGATGCACGCTTATTATCAATTTCACCGCATATCGTTAATAGAACTTCACGAAAAAACGCACCTCTATTCTAGGTATTTGATCGAATTTCCAATAACAAACGAGTATTGCAAGCGTAATGGCGCTAACGATCTAGGTATTAGCGGAAAGATGGGTGTCACGAGTGCAAAGAACAGTAACGTAGATATCGATACATTCCGCGCGATATATCGACTAATCGACAACGTCGCGATTTCTCGTAATCGGAATCGTTCGTTCGTCTTTCAGCTCGTCAGCAGTCGGATCCTCCAGGATATCTACCTCCGTATAGTACACAGAGACCACCGGAAAGGCCTCGACCTTTCCAAGCACCGTCCACCGGCCAACAATCGACCTACGCGACTCCTACTCGCAACGAGGTGACGAATTACCCTTATCAGAGACCGTCCAACGTCGGTTCGCCATCCGGCCAATCGACCACCGTACAACCACCACCCTACTCTACTCAAAGACCGACTTATCTTCCGCCGAACAACCAATCACCTTTCACGCCATCCTCTTACAATCTCCGACCTTCCGCGACACCGGCCTATTCAAACGCCGGTTCCTCCGCTTTCCCACCATTTAGCTCAACTCCCCGGCCCCCCTCGTCCGCTCAAACCCCTCAACCTGGCTATCCTACTCCCGGTGGAATCTCCACCAACTATGGTTACTCCACGCCGGGTTTTAGTAGCTCTACAGCCGGTACATTCTCCACACCGGCTGGTTTCTCCACTACGTACGGTTACTCGACTAAACGACCGAGTCCTACCTATGTTCCATCCGTGGAGGGACCCGCTCTTAGCGGCTCGTCCGCTGCCGGTTATCCTTCCACCGGTTATCCGAGCGGAAATCAAGCATCTTCTTACCCGACTGCCGAGGCTGGGGCTAATTCGTTCGACCACGGTATCGCGGCTGGATACCCCCCTTCTTCTACTCCTGACGGTGCGTTCCCAGCTCCGAATACTGGCAGCGGATCCAGTTCGTCCGGTGCCGCCATACCTTCCGAAACATCCACCGGGGTCGCTAGGCCTACGGGAGAAGGTATTTCGCTTTGCTCCTTTTCTCTAACCTATTCCAATACGTCCGTCATTCTCGAATTTTATTCGTTACCATAGAATCGAGTGGTTCTGGAACGGTAACGGGCCAAGACAGCGCGCAAGACGATGATTCGTTACATCCGCCGCATATTCATGCTCTCGATGTTCAGTGTAGCAAGACTATGATGACGATCAACATCGAATTCAATCGTGTTTTCGACGGAGTTATTTATTCAAAGGTGATCAACGATGCGATATTTTCAAATACCACGAATTAATATATATCCGCGTACGTATTTGCAGGGATTCTTTTCGAATCCGGAATGTAGGTACGTCGCACAAAATTCCGGACAGACGAAATATTCGTTCACCGTGAGCTTGGATTCGTGTGGCACTCAATTCATTAACGATTTCGCGGGTGAAGCTGGCCAAGCTTACTTGGAGAACGTACTGGTTCTGCAGGTACATCTCTTACGATCACGTTCGCGTCGCCCAACTCTCCTACCGTATTTATTTTTATCCTCTCCTCGTATCGTCTTTTACCTTCAGAACGAACCAGGTATACAGGAAGTTTGGGACACGGTGCGCAGGGTTCGTTGTCTCTGGGAAGGGAACATCAACAAGGCCTTGACGGTGAACTTCTCCGTGGACATGTTAAATCAAGAAATAGTAACGTTCAGCGGTGACACGGCAACGGCCAAGTTGGACATTCAAGTAGGAAGAGGACCGTTCGCGCCTGCCGCCGATGGACTAGTTAAAATCGGAGAGACCATGACACTGGTCGTCTCCGTAGAAGGAGATCCTGGCTTCGATCTCCAGGTATTTTCGCTTCGTTTCCATCCTTAATTCTCTCGTTTCGCCGAGAAATACCGTATTAACGACGAATAATTTACGACGAATACGCAAACTTTAAGGTTCGCGACTGTTTCGCCCGTGACGAATCCCTGACCAACACGATACAGCTGACAGACGACAGGGGATGCGTATTGAAACCAAAACTATTCGGGGCGTTCCAAAAGACCAAGGACACCGGAAATACCGGAGCATCGATTATCGCGTACGCGTACTTCCAAGCTTTCAAATTCCCCGACGTGATGGACCTGTTCATCGAATGCAACGTGGAACTGTGTAAAACCGATTGCGAGGCGTGTCCAGAATTGAATCAGGTAATTCTATGTACACGCGAGTCTATTCCATCGCTTTAGCGCCTATTTTGGATAGATGATCTGATTCAAAACATTTTATAATCCTATCTTTACAGCAAATTGAACCGCGTAGACGGCGACGATCGATAATGTATACACCGTCCAACACCACGTCGAATGCTTCGACCGTGTTACTCTCTGATCCGATACGCGTCGCTCGAGGCTTCAAAGTGATCATGGTGGACGATTTGAGCAAAGCCAGCAATCAAGTCTTGGAGCATCTAGAGGAAACTGCCATCGCGGAGACCACCGTCGAAGAAATCGCGAGGAACACGATGAACGTTTGCATGACGCATAGCGGCTTTTACGTCACCATCTCCTTCTTTTTCACTACCATTCTCGCCACTACTATCAGCGCGGTTACGCTTTACGTCAAATTACAACGAGTATATCGATCGAAGGCCAATTATTCGTAGAGATTTGCCTGGCTCTCACCTTCAATCACGCGTGATTGACAAACGTTACGCTTACAGCTTTACAGTAACGACAGCTAGCGTAATGCGCGTCCACGTTTTTCATTCAAAGCTATCAGCCTCTTAACGTGCCTATTTTTTCGTACTAGCTCTCATCTCGATCGTAAGCGATCGATAATGACAAGTTCAGGAAGAGAGAAACAATGATACGAAAGATATTTTAGAGACGCAACGTGTTATTCCTCATCTTTCCGACACACCTCGTACCATACCACTCACGCATTTGCGTCGTCTTCTCGCAAATATCGATACGATCAATTCTACAGCCATACTTCTCCAAGTAGTGTCTATCTATGAAATGTCCAACTGTGCTATTTCAAGGAAATTGAAATCGAACTTTTCCTTTTAGCGGGACCACGGTAAATAGACCTTAGACTTTCTTCAATAAAGAACGTGTTTTTAAAGAGTCGAGTACACCTCTACTGCTTAACGAGAATAACGTTTGACGATAAATCGCATCGTTCGATATTGCTGTATACATAGCGAGAAAACTATATATTCCGTTGGATCGACGCTTTACGACGTTTTATCACAGAGATACGTTCAACTGTTAGCGAATTCAAGTTTCGCGATGAGGAATAGAAATGTAAACGGGATTATTACGTTGCAAGCTCATGCAACGTTTCATTCGCTCACTGTGCACGTGTCACATAACCTTTCATCGATCGTGTAAAGTAAATAACACAAATGTCATCATTCGCATATGAAAACGTGTACACGATAGAGATATATATTGTTACTTTATTCTTTTAAAACGCAGTATATACAAATGTTCTCCCCTGATTTTCCTTTCCGCTATTATATTGCCTATCATATTCAAGTCTATAAACATACGCAAAATGTGTTCGGGATCATTTTCTTTGATAACCAAAAGGTAAAATGTTCCCGTATCCGATAGAATATGAGGAATTTTAGGAAACACTCGACCCATAACTTTTCTACCATTTGTACCACCTGCCCAAGATTTCGATAAAACCTGTCCGTTAGAAATTTCATCGTCACTGGTTACCACGTATGGTGGATTGAATACTATGACATCGAAAACGCAATTGTTACGTATGCACGTTAATAAATCCATTTGCACGGTATCTATCTCTACCAAATTTTGCACAGCAGTTTCCCTCGTAATTCTACACGCGTCGACATTGATATCGATGGCTAAATGATACGGTTGACAGTGCGTTTTTAATGCCATTGCCAATGCTGTGATAACAATACCAGATCCACTGCCTATCTCTAAACACATCACAGGTTTTGCAGCTTTTAAGACCTCTAAATCAGCTTCTAAGGCATCTATCAGGAGGAAGGAATCTTCCGATGGTTCATAAACCGATTCCAAATCTTTGTCCGATAATTTAACTATCGGCGTATTCATGATATATCAATGGAAAATATAGAACGATTTATGTACAAATATTCTCTCTCGGATATTTCTCAGCTAAAGACCAAGCTAAACAGACGTATCACAATTATCTTACAATTATCATTGTCGTGGCTCATTCGTATTCCTTAGACACAATAGCTTCTTTCTCCGCTTCTGCTTGCTCTTCTTTACTTAGAACATTTGAGGCATTACCATAAAAAGAACTACGATCCAGTAAAGCTTTCCTCTTTGTCGTACTCGTTTCTACTGCTTGGTGAATCTTATTCAATCGTTCCTGAGTACTTTGCAATATGTTACTGACAATGGTGATTTTATGTTTAGCATTAATCAGCTTTTTAACGTAAGAATCCGTTTCCAATGGGCACTGTAACGCTTCGTTGATCCTTTGCAATTCTTCCGTCAACGATTCAATCCGTTGCTTTAATTCTATTTGACATATCCTATTGAAATCAAGGAATTTGTTGGTAAATAAAGTGCTAAAAGTTTATCGTTAGTACAATGTCTCCCATCATTTCGAATTTTATAAACGGAAACGAGTATTCAGAGATCGTTACAACGACGATATTACGAATGTTTACATTTATACGGTAGCAGAGGCATAGAAAAAGAGAGTATGACATACCTCGTGGCACGAATTCTTTCGTCTAACTGATCCACCGTAGGTTTCAGAAGACTCATAAGACCTTCCGTCAAAGCATCTCTCGTTGGATTTTCGCAAAAATCGTCTATTTTGTCATCGATAGACGTATTATCACTCGCCGTGTCCACGTCCATGTTTTACTTTTCTCTACTTATAGTCTTTCCGCTATACCTCAGATGGCACCACTTGCTACGTTAGGTCACGCATATCGATCAGATTCGTTGATTTTGACGGCTAGGTAACTAGAAACCTAGGGAAAATCTATACCGCACTCTACAATGTTCCTACCGTAAAACAAAAAGTACTACGTTCCTCGTGCTAGTATTTTCTGTTTTCTTTGCACAGATATGGCTACATTGAATCAGTCGTATATTTATAGTTATATATTTACACGCATATAGTTACTTTGCGCGAGATTTATGAAAAGTAGAGGTTAGGATCGAATCGAACGAGAGCGTAAAAATTTTTCAATCATTTTATCAACGCATATCGATAATGAAATTTACGTATTTCCGATATTCACATTAAACTAACGACACGACGCAATTTGTCCTTAACAATTTTCCATCGAATATTTGTCCTAACGAACATCGATACACTGTTGCACATTATTTTAACGTTACTCGTGAAAAAAACAAACGTCATAACGTAATTATGAATTCTATGGATGCAAATGAAAAAGTGAATTTATGTATACGTTGCAAGAAGTAGATGTTTATCATTAGTAACTGCATATATCTCCGCTGCAAAACAATTTTTTACGTCGATACTTGTTACTTCGCGAAACGATCGCGATAAATTTTTTAATTGTAATACGGTAAATACGAAGTTTGCTGTAATGCGCAATAAATTGTTTCTAAATGGAAAAGTCAGACACGTTATTTGCGAATATATAATACGTATATATCGTCATATATTTAAATTACACAACACACAAATTACAGCGATTTACAAACATTATGAACAAAATTCTAGGAAATCGTGTAGGAGAATGCGTGAAATTTCGTCGCAATTGTCTCGAATTTTCTATTTCGGTAAATGAGGTATATCTGTGTTAAGATTAATGTTGTCCTAGCGAACGAATTGATCAAAGATCGGGCATGGAAGAAGAGTGCCGAAAAAATGAGGTAATGCGGGTTACAAAACACGCGAAGCAGGTTTAATCCTTTATCTCGACGAGGAATAGGATAGACGATAGCATGGAATACGTACGTTCGCGAATATAGCGAGAAGTTCAGTAACCGGAAGAACGATGCGTGATTCGCATTACATTTTTGACGTTCGTCGCGTAAGTTCGAATACCGAAGGAAGGAAAATCGAACGAAGAAAATCGGCTATCGATAGATAGAATTTGAAATGGAAAGGTAAAATTTTTCAACGAATTTGTTTATACCTATTTCCGTGAATATGAAATCGCAAGTAACGGTGGTAACGCGTACAAATAAAAGGATAGATGTATTTTAATACGTCCGATAGAAAAGTTTGCGTATATTGTCAATCTTCCGCGTTCGACGCATGCAGGATAGCCGAAGAAAAAAGTTAGGGG